CAAAAAATAAGTTTACGTTGGTTTTTAAACAAAAATTTAAAAATTTGACTATCAAAATTTTTTTTTCCAATTAATTTTTTTTCAATGATTTTTTTTTTCAACTAATACTAACTGAGGGGGTAATTGGTAATGTTACTTTAAACCTTGGAGAGGGGATTGCAATTTCTAAAATGTGAGGAGTGTCAATGTAATTTATCCAGTGAGGGAAAAATTGGCATTTAAAAAAATTAAATTGCTGACATAATAAAATTTGTTAGTTGACTTAACAGTCAATTAACTGAGAGAGCAATTTGTAATGAAACTTTAAATCTCAATAAGGGGAATGTAATTTCTAAAAAGTAAGGGGGGAACTGTAATAAATATAAAATTCAGGGGATGTCAATGTAATTTACCCTTTATTTTATTATTTATTTATTTTTATTGGATCAACATTTTGGGTCATTTGGAGAGCCGTTGGAGGCCCCATCTTTAATGCCATGAAAGATAATAATATGTATGTTTGAACTACTGGACAGGTCTTTTTAGAATAATTTTGTAGAGCCATTGGATGCGGCATATGTCATTGAAGAAGGTGAAAAGTATATCTGATTGTGTGATTTATTTATCTGTTCATAGACTTTTTCAAGATCCATGGTACAGACAAATGGAAGTGATGAGGGGCACCTTTCCTCACACATTCTCTCTCTCTCTCTCTCTCTCTCTCTCTCTCTCTCTCTATACAGCATTGCTATTATCACTACTGATGCCAAAGCCCAAATTTGAATATTATGGGTGAGTGTAACGTATCCAAGCGGAGCAGCGAGAGATTGATTGTTCCAACTGTGTGGTATTAGTGAGGTGTCCAAAACGTTAACTTTTAATATCATGAGTGAGCGTGTCATTTTTAAGAAGAATAATAAGTAATAAGAGATTGACTATTGCACTCCTGTAGTGTTTATAAGGTGTTTGTTTCTTTTTCTAAAATAACAATTTATACTTTCGATTTCACTTTGCTCTATCATATGCTGAAGTCATGATTTCATTTCAAAATTGGATATTGAACATGCCATTTAAAATTGTAACTTAAATTTGCAATTTCAAAAAGTGCTATATTTTTTGCCAAATAATTTTAAAGTGCAATAATTTTATTAAAAATTGTAAATTTAAAGTCCATTATCTTTTACTTTTTTGATAAGCAAAAGAGAGCTTTATTGATGAAGAAAGTAGAACAAGCATAAAACTTACATCAATAAAGAGGGAAGTGCAAAAGCATCACCGCTGGCCTTAACAATCCCAATTAGGTTGGCACTGCTAAGGAAACAAAATCATCTGCTAGCACTTGACCCAAGATTGGCGAGAAACCAATCCAGAGAAAGCAAGAGAAAGGGAAAAGAAAATAAGAAAACCAGACCAGCCACCTAAACATTGACTAAACAAAAGTATAAGCATGATCTACCACTAAAGCAACATGATACAATCCATACAGCAGCAGCCACAGCAGAGCATGATCTTTCTGTAGAGTACAAACTCAAATTGGAGGGGCCTCAGACCATTCCAACTGCAGAGCATCAATGCCACCCTCCAATAAAAAGACCAGATTAGTAGATTATCAATGCACCAGAACCAAGCATGATACAAACCAAACCACACAGTAGCAGCCACAATTCTGCCTTGAGCATAATCCTTCAACCTCCATACTGATACAAACTACACAGCAGCTTCAACCTCTAATAATTCCAAGGGAGCACACTAGAGCACACAACTTCAGACCAACAGACAGATTCATCCAAGGGAGCAACACTGGGGCCAGATTTACCTTCACAGACAGATCAGGCCAGCATCACCTTCCAAATATTGGTGACAGACACCTTCCACCTTTACACTAGTGACAGACCAGCCATAATCCTATGTCATACATCCACTGACTTTCAATCTCTCTACCATCTACATCACAGCATCTGCAACAGCAAACAACACACACTGCAGCAGATCACAGAATTGAGGAAGGTGCCTCAGAAGCCAAATGCCCCAAAATCACACCAGGAACAATGCAGAAGCAGAACACAGAAGCAAAGCTCACACAACAGAAGCAGAATACACACAGAAATTACTCTTGGAATCGCAGCAGACTACCTTAACCAAGAAGGGAAGACACACACAGAAGCAGAACACACACACAGAGCACTCGACAGAAGCAGAATTCATCAGATGCACCTCCTGGTCTAGTTGAAGTTAAATATAAAATCATGAATGGAATAAGAGTATGAGTTCCCAATAGAGTGACTCTTCAAACAAATGGCAACTCTAGTCTTGATAAGCTCACAAAGCTGCAGGGAGTTAGGTTGAGCACTATTAAACACACAGTCGTTCCTGAGCTTCCAAATTGACCATAAAACAGCAAGTGGTAAGGCTTTCCATATTTGGAGTTCCTTCTTCCTGATTTTAGTGCCAATCCACCAATCAAATAAGGCCACCATAGAGCCTGGACATACCCGGTGAAAACCCCACCAATCTATAATGTCAGACCAAATTTTCCAGGTAAAGGGGCAAAGGAGTAATACATGGTTAAGGGACTCAGGTTCTTCTCTGCAAAAGTGACACTAAGTAACAGCCTCGCCTCTAAGAACACCAATGCTATGAAGGAACACAGATGTTTTGATTCTTCCTTTCCAAGCCAGCCAAGAAAAAAATTGAACTTTTGGTGGTGTGATGTTATTCCAGATAAGTTTAGGCATGGACACAACTGGACCTCTATTAGACTACAACCAACAGAATAAGTCACATGATCTAAAGGCACCCTGATTTGAAGCTTTCCATCTCATACCATCCTCCACCTCATGCCTTAATAATGGCCCATTACCCAGTAGGACTTGCAAATTTTGGACTTCCTCCTCTTCCTAAGCCAATAGAGGTCTCCTAAAGGTTAAGTTCCAGTTGGGGTAGCTACTTTTTCTATCCATGAAATCTTTAAGAGAACTATCTTTATCAGAAGAAAGACAAAATAGTCTAGGAAAGAGGGATTGAAGACAGTCACCACCTAGCCAACCATCCTTCCAGAATGAGATATTGGCCCCATTACCAACAACCAATTCTGAGTTAACCAAGAAATAGTTGAGTAAGGTAGGGTTATCAGCAGCTAAACCCATAATGTCCTTCCAGATCCAAGAGCAATTACTAATAGTACCTTGGGAGTGAAACCAACTACCGGATCTGCTGCTGTACTTGCAACAGATCAATCTTCTCCATAGGGCTTGTTTTTCATTACAAAACCTCCACCACCATTTAGCAAGTAAACACTCATTAACTTGACCCAAACTTCTAACACCTAATCCTCCTTGATTTTTTGACATAGAGACAACCTTCCAATTGACCAAGTGGACCTTTCTTTTGACCTCGGTGTCGCCCCACAGAAAAGAAGCTTGAATTTTATCCACCTCTTTGATTACACCCTTTGGCATTTTAAACAGGGAAAGGTAGAAGATTGGGAGGTTTGATAAAACTGACTTAATAAGGGTGAGTCTTCCAGCAAACGATAAAAGTCTTTTACTTTAACCATTAAAAAGTTTGTTGAAACATAGCCATCTATAAGTCCTCCAAAACATTTGACACATAACAGTTGTGCAGACAACATGCTAGACCTATTGCTCTATCTGTCTATGAAGTGAAGGAAAGGAAAAATGGTGTACACAAAACTACTTTTTCATATAAAAATTCCATCCATTATGATGAGTTAATTGAAATTTAAAAATTATGAGCCCAAGATTGGTAGTTTGTTTGAAAATGAGAAGATTACAACGAATCATATTACTTTGTATAAAATATTTATTTGTATAACATGACTTGTACACGCAAGTGATACAAAACTATATATAGCTGAACTAAAACTAATATGGCCCTATTCTCTCTTACTCACATAAGCACTACGTATTTCATTTTCTGGGTAATGGCATTGAGGTACATATAATAGACTGGGATGTGCAAATAAACATAATTTTCATGGGAAAAATGGTATTTTTAATTTTTTTATACGTAAGATAGAATGTTAACATGCTAATATATTAAAGTTATCGCATACTTCTATTTGGCTCACACTTCTACGTATTTCAATTTTTTTTCTTTTTGTGAGAGAAGGGGGGTGGGTAGGATCTACAGTCCCTACCCACCCATTTTATGCACATGAAAATTTATTTTTCTAGCTTATTGCCACCATTTTGAAGATATATATACCAATGTTGACCCAACAATAAATCTATCTGACTAAACAATACACCAAGTCATCCTAATTCCCTTAGGAATTGATTGTTTGTTCCATTATTTTCATCTTTTTCTAAATATGCCATATAACTTATATGAATCTAACTAGTAAAAATAATTCTTTATTACATCATTTATAGAATTCAGACAATCTTAGTAACCTTTTGGAATATGTTACAACTAATAAATGCTATAAGATATAAATGTTGGATTCCTCAAATTAGCAAAAGTGGTGGGTCTTGATGTGCTTAAAATTACACACTAGAATCCTAACTACATAAATAAATAAAAAGGAAAATAAGTTCAGGTTTATGGACAAGTTCAGTCCGGCTAATGACATCAAGCACAATTCAATTTCCATAAGATCAAAATGGTTGCATTTAGATTGAACTCATAGTTGATGTGGTCATAATCCAAGGCATTTTGATGGTAACTACTCACTAACAAAAATACAGTTCGAAAGCAATTCTAGTTGGACAGTCCATTCAAGGCAGGCAAGAACACACCCAAGAATGGCTATAATGACAAAGCTATACAACATATCAGGGGGCACTCATTGGCATGTGTGTCAAAGAGCTCTTAAAATAGGATATCAAAACAAATGTACGTCTTTATTGTAAGCATATGTAGGAAGGGTAATGTTAATTTCTTCTCATGCGTTTGTGGTTGCATGATTATAGGGATTATAAAGAACCCATACCCGGTGCAACATAGCCTATAGTTCCCCTTGATACAGTTGAATTGCTCTGATGTTGTACCACCTCATTTTAAATAGTGGAGATAATTTTGGCTAACCCAAAGTCTCCAACATGAGCGATCATCTCGTCATCCAAAAGAACATTACTCGACTTTAGATCACCATGAATAATTGTTGAGTCACAATGACAGTGAAGATAATCAATTGCAGAAGCAACATCTATAGCAATGTTTAGCCTTTGAATCAACTTTAGATTTCTGGATTCTTCTTCTTGTCCATTATTTTCGATTCCATCATTATGCAACCATTTCTCTAAGCTTCTATTGGCCATAAACTTATATACCAAAGCCTTAAATTCATTACCTTGGAAATCCACACTAGAACAAGTGCTCAAAATTTTCAAGAGATTTCTATGTCTTATGGTTCTTAGTGCTTTGCATTCTGACATAAAACTTTTAGAAGCTCCGCTGAGTTGGAGATTGAGTACTTTCACTGCCACTATTGTCTGAACCTGATCAAGAATTTCTTTGTAAACAGAACCATAGTTCCCAACTCCAATTAGCTTGTCCTCTGAGAATCCATCAGTAGCTTTCAAAAGCTCTGCAAAAGAAAACACATTGCCAAGGAAGGAATATGAATAAGCAAACCAACAAAATTGAACATAACACAAGAACAACCACAACAGTGAGTATCATTTTCATCTTATGAGAGAGCTTATTCTTGTTGGACTTTGAGGATGGGCAGAGAGGAAGACGCAAGTATGGAATGCCTCCACATAGATCATTATTACTTACCACCGAAATAGCACTTTCATTTCAAAAAATTCCTTCCATTGGAACTCGCCTATGTAGCTTGTTAAAAGATAGATTCAACTTTTCTAAGTGGAGCTTACTTAGATAACTTGGCATCAACCCCGATAAATTGTTGCGTGAAAGGTCCAACTCTCATAAACCCCTTAACGCTCTCAAACTTTGAAGTATCTTGCCTTCAAATGAATTACCTTCCAAATGAAGCGATTCTACACTCAAACAATTTCTTAGAGAGTTCGGATTAGATCCTAATAATCTATTATTGGACACATCCAGCTTTTCAAGATTTTTCAATGACCCAACTTTTGATGGAAGAGCACTAATCAATACATTGTAAGCTAAGTTCAAGGAAATTGAAATGGAGGAGAGTTTCCCAATTTCAGGGGGTATTGAACCATTGAGATTATTATGAGAAAGATCTAGTTACAACAATCTATGACAATTGCCAAGACTCAAAGGAGTGCTTCCATAGATATTGTTTTGCTCTAAGTCAAGAAAATTCAACAAAGTTAAGTTTCCTAATTGTGAGGAAGTATTTTGAGGCTGCCACCAAGTGGCTAAGGTGGCACCAAGATGCCACGTGGACTGGCCATGTGTTGTCGAGGTGGTCACGGCATTGCCGAGATGTTCTGCGGTAATGCCAGGATCCCGAGATATTCAGATTGAGGACAAGAGTCCTAGATAAGAGAGGACTTCTTGTAAGGATAAGGCTCTTGAGGAGTTTATCCCTATCTCGCTAAGAGTCCAAGATGAGTTATGCTTGAGTCCTATGAAGTGAGACTTTTGGAGGGTCATGACAGTGATCATTATAAAAGAGAGGCACCCCCATGGGCCTTAAGTATGCTTATTCTTGTGAGTTTAAGTACTGATTTGATATTTGTTAGAGATAAGACTTACTGACTTGACCATTGGTGTGCCCCCGGGTGGACGAACTACCACAGATTTCTTATTGTCTTGTTACAGGTATTTGGCTTAATCTATTCTGCCAGTGCTCTCCAACTAAGTTCCCCCGTATTGGTTGTGTGGTTAGAGATCAACATCCACAATTTGGCGCCATCTATGAGAACTTAGAAGGATAGATGTCCAATAACGGACAAGAGGTGAGAATTGGGGACGACATTCACAGTGAGGAAGAGGAACATATGGACCTGAACAATGTAACCAATAACGAAGAAGTACAAGAACTGATTCCTGGGACGAATGATGTCAGCAAATGGTGTAACGGTCTGAAGAAGGGAGGCCCAGATAAGTACTACCATGAGGGCGATCTATAAGTATGGAAGGGCAGGTGCCTAAGAAGGGACGAGGAACTGAAGAGCATGGCGGACAAGTTGACACACCTACAGACGGTAGTTAACTTCATGATGCAGAATAATGTGATACAACTGACATTCTCACTATAGGATATACCGGCACTAGCTACAAAAGACGGTCCTGACTGTTTCGTAACATGGCAGGGGACGAGACTCGCGTCGGCCATCATAGGACATCGGACAGACTGAGTCCGTGTGAAGAGAGTCACAGATGACACCACGGACCAAGGGAACCTATGTTAGAGGATCTCGGTAGATCCAAGGACAGGGTATCTACTTTGATGATAAAGGAAATGTGGAAAATTCCAAGATGACCCATCCTAACACGGCAAACAGTATGCTGAATAGGCTCAAGTCGAGGGATAGTCGATCTCCTCGGCGCACGAATGAGGACTTAAGGGACTACCTCCAGAGGAAAAGGCACGATACCGAGATTACCTCTGACATCCGGCTAAGGACGCCATTCTCAGTGGAGTTGGACACCTTTGAGGTGTCGAAAAGATTCAACATACCGAGGTTCCAGATTTATGACGGTAAGTCTGATCCTAACTTCCGTGTTGGTTTATATTTGAATTCAATAGCTTTGTAGAGCGGGAGTGAGCAGCTCCTACACAAAGTATTCCCCTCATCTTTTGGGGAGATAACATCGGACTAGTTCCATAAACTGTCAAAGGAAAGTGTGAAGAGTTGGGAAGGCTTGGCCGAGATGTTTGTGGCCAGGTTTGTTACAAACAAGTCATAGCCACTAAAGGTAGATTCCCTATTGGTTTTGAAGATTAACGATGGTGAAGGCCTTAGGGCTTACGCTAAGAGATACTACGAGGTTTACAATCAGATCTCGACTTGTAACTAGAAACTTGCAGTCGTTTCTTTCAAGAACGGCCTAGATGATGATTGCATGCTTTGGTAGTCTCTTGCAAAAACCCTACCGAAGAGCATGGAAGAACTCATGACACAGATTGAGAAGTATGCTAGAGTAGAGGAAGATAAGAAAGCCAAAATGGCACATACATCGAAGCAAGAGAGAATAAACGGCTCACCAAAACGTAGCCAAGGAAATATAGGTACACATAGGCAAGAAACAGGATTGAGATCCTTATTGGCAATCAGCACAATATTCAGAATTCCAATCTATAACGTTCTGGAGAGGATCAAGAACCAGCCATACTACAGAGCACTAGAAAAGATCCTAGGCGAATTCATGGGCAGGAGCATTAGGAAGCATTGTGCTTACCATGACGAGAATAGACACCTGACTCAGGGATGTCAGGCTTTGAAGTCGCACCTGGAGGATATGGTCAGACAGGGACACCTGAGAGACCTAGTAGATGAGGTGAAGACAAGGGAAAAGCACACAAGGCTGCCCCAGGTACCAGCAGCACCACCTCTACCTCCGTCACCGTAACAGGCCGACAAATTTTGAGTAATTAATGTGATCCATTCGAAGGTCAACAAGAATGAAGTACGAGGGGAAACTCGAAGAGTGAGGCATTTGTAGCATGTCTATCAGATCCAATAGAAGAAGCCTAGGATACACGGATGCCAGGGGCCGATGATATCCTTCACTGAAGAAGACTCAGACCTGGTACAATACCCGCATAATGATGCTCTGGTGGTAACTTTGAAGATTAGAGATTACCAGGTGAGGTGCATCCTTATTGATTAGGGTAGCTCTTGTGATATTATGTATGTCAGATGTTAAAGGGAGCTTGGCCTCGAACAAGATGATCTAGGGCATTCCGATAACCTGACGGTTGGATTCAATAGGACTTCGACGTGGCCATTGGAAAACACGATTCTAGAGGTGCAGCAGGAACCAAGAAGGTTAGTACAGAGTTTATCATAATAGATACCCCATCCCCATACAATATCATCCTGGGAAGACCCTAGTTACATGTAATGAGGGCTGTTCTCTCAACGTTGCACCAATTGTTGTGATTCCTAAAAGAATAGGGGATAGAAGAAGTAAGAGAAGACCAGGTGTAGGCGAAAGATTACTCCATGGTAGTAATGAAGTATACCTACATTGTGAGAGAAGCAGAGACTGCAGAAATCGAAGATGAAGACCGGGAGGTCTTGGATGATGTCGGCAAGGAACCAGCCGACAAAAGCGAAAAACTCTTAAAAAAGGTTCTAGTATAGGAAGGTGATGGGGAGCGATTCTTCTCATTAGCTCTGGCCTAGCCGAGGAAGAGGAAGAAGAACTGGAAGCCTTCCTAGGAGCAAACAAAGAAGTGTTTGCTTGAACACCATACGAAATGCCAAGGATTAATCCCGAGGTCACCTGCCACACGCTCAGTATGGACAGGTCGGCCAAACCAGCTATTCAAAGAGCAAGAAGGTCGACCTTAGTGCATGTGTAGGCAGTTGAGGAGGAAGTGGACAAGTTACTTGAAGCCTAGGCAATCCGAGAGATGAACTACCCTACCTGGCTGTCCAATACAGTGGTGGTGAAAAAGAAGAATGTCAAGTGGAGGGTCTGCGTAGACTTCACAAGCTTGAACAAGGCTTACCCCAAGGATAATTTTCTTTTGCCTAAGATTGATTAACTTGTGGATTCCACGTCAGGTCATGGAAGGATGAGCTTCCTGGATGCTTACAGGGGATACCATCAGATAGCAATGTTTGCCCCTAATGAAGAGAAAACAGCATTCATCACCCCCAAGGGACTTTACTGCTACAGAGTAATGCCTTTTAGGCTGAAGAATATAGAAAGGACGTATTAAACACTGGTCACCAAGATGTTTAAGCATCTTATTGCTAGGATAGTTGAAGTCTACATTGACGATATGGTCGTCAAGACCAAGGAACCAAGGGACCATCTAGCCGACCTAAAAGAGGTCTTTAACATGTTAAAAACCTACCGGATTTGACTCAATGCATTGAAGTGTGAATTTGGAATTGGATCTGGTAAGTTCCTACGATACTTGGTTACCAGAAGAGGAATTAAAGCAAGTCCATATTAGATCAATGCCATTCCTAACCTGGAAAGCCCGATGACAACAAAACAGGTTCAGATTTTGACAGGCAAGGCAGCAACCTTGAACAGGTTCATTAGCCGTAGCTCAGATAAGTGCAAACCATTTTTTCAATTATTGAAAAAAACCACAGACTTTTTATAGGCAGAAGAATACGAACTTGCCTTGGCCGACTTGAAGAGGTACCTGACAACATCACCAGTGCTGTCGAACCCGGTACCAGGAGAAGACTTGTTCTTGTACCTAGTACTTTTAGAACACGTTGTCAGTGTTGTGGTAATCCGAGAAGAAGATAGAGAGTAGAAGACAGTGTACTATGTGAGCAAGACCCTAGCAAGTGCAGAAACTATGTACCTGCCTCTAGGGAAGTTGACACTAGCTCTAGTAATGGATTCAAAGAAGCTAAACCACTACTTTCAGGCTCACAGAATTGTAGTGCTGATAGAGCACCCCCTAAAGTCTCTGCTGCAGCATGGAGACTTAACAGACAGAGTAGCTCGATGGGCTGTAGTCCTAGGCCAGTATGACCTGGAATTCAGGCTGAGGGCAACAATCAAGGGCTAGGTTCTGGCCAACTTTGTAGCAGAGTTCACTTTAGGCGCAATCCCATGGCGAGCACCAGTGAGTTACAGCTTAGGACGCCCAAGAGAGCAAGAGGAGACTCAATTGGGGCCACGAAACCCCACACCAACAGAACAAAAGAAGGGAGAAGAAAGACGAAAACCCTGCAATATTTATATCGGCGACTTCTTTCACCTCTTTGTCAATGGTAGTTCAACCCGGTAGGGAGCGGGGGCAGGAGTAGTTTTACTATCCCCAGATGGGCGAATGACAGAACAATTTATCCATTTGGAGTTCAAAGCCTTAAACAACGAAGCGGTGTACGAGGCACTGATTGCTGGACTAAAACTTGCAACAGTTATGGAGGTCGACGAGGTTGTAGTCTTCTGCGACTCCCAACTCATTGTCAATCAGGTAACATGTGAGTACACAACCCGAGATGAGAGAACGATAGCCTATGTCAAGGAGGTTGTCAAGTTGCTAACACAATTCTAAAGCTACCAGCTGTAACAAGTTAGCCGAGATGACAACAGCCATGTTGACGCCCTGGCAAACCTCGCTAGTGCGATGAAGTTAGGTAAGGTGAAGACAATCATGGTGGATTATCTGTTGGGCCTAAGTATAGAGCCACTAATAACAGAGTATAAAGCAATGTGTGTGGAGATAGATCCAAGCTGGATGGACGTCATAGTTGTGTTCCTCAAGAATGGTAAGCTTCCAGCAGATAGAAAGGAAACACACAAGTTCAGCTTAAAGTCAGCCAGATTCTGCTTGATAGTAGAACGCCATCTAACAGGAGATCTTTCACTGGACCTTTACTATGATGTGTGCACCCATCCCAAGTAGAGGACTTTCTGTACGAGATCCATGAGAGAGTATGTAGAAGTCATGTAGGGGGCATATCACTTGCCCACAGAGCCATATCATAGGAATACTAGTGGCCCTACATGCAGAAAAAAGTTGAGGCCTATGTAAGGAAGTGTGAGAAGTGTCAAAGGTTTGCACCTTTGATACACTAGCTAGTTGCAGATCTGAATCCAATATCCAGTCCCTGGCCTTTGGCCCAGTGGAGCATAGATCTTGTTGGACAACTGCCCCAGGCAACTGGACAGAGAAAGTTCTTACTGCTGACCACTGACTACTTCACAAAGTGGGTAGAGGCTGACCCCTTGCAAAGATTCGAGATGTAAATGTGCAGAATTTTA